TTTAGTCAAGTGTGGTTGAGGAGCTTCTACTGCAGGTGGTTTGTTTTCTTTCAGGCACCCAAAGCCTTTTGCTTTGGTTCCCTACTGCAACCTCCCTCAAAAGCCTGTGGCACCAAGGAATTTTATCTCTTTTCCCTCTACTGTTTGCACATCAAACGCCCCAAGTGGACAAGGTTGACCATTTATCACTAACAAAGTAATTAATATTAAGATGTTAGTGACTCATTTTATTGCATGGTAATTTGGAATTTTATTATAATTATTTCATTATAGGCTCCTGGCAATCTGAACAAGACAGGGGATGGCAAACTTTTTCTGTAAAGGGACAGGTAAAAAATATCAGATATAAGTATCAGGCATTACAGGTTACTGTTGCATATGGTTCTTTGTCTTTGGTTGTTTTATATAAAAAGAGAGCAGTGACCAGATCTGAGCCATGGTTTGCCAACCTCCACTATAAGATAAGGTACAATAGGCAACAATGTGTCCCCCTTCCAGGTACCTAATACACATTTGTAGCAACTAACATTTACTGAAAGCTTAGTGTGCCAGCTATTGGGCTAAGTGTTTTGTGTATATCACCTGATTCAATCATCACAGCCATTCTATGCTATAATGACTGTTATTATTCTTTTCACAGATAAAGAAATTGAGACTTGAAGACATTAAGTAACTTCCCAACCATTCTGTAAATGGGGGAGTCAGAATCTAAACACTGAAAGACTGACTTCTGAGTAACTAAAATACACACTTCTGAAAAACCTTTCATGTGAACATGTAACTAATACGTACCTATGGCACAAACTAGAACACTGACCCGATTCAGTGCTAATTTGCTAAATATTCAGGAAAAAAAATTTTTTTAAGGGAGAATTGAACACTTTAAATCAATGAATGAAAGTCTAATGGTATAATATCAGGCACTGAGAAGAAAGGTATTTTGGAAACGGTATCAGATCTAGAGTGTCAAAGCTAAAATCAGGACCCACTGCCAAACTTTTTCAATAAAGCAGCACAAGGAAATCTTAATTATGGAACACAGAAGTGCAACAAACAGACTATCTTAAAAATGTAACAGGTTTGGGGTGCCTGGCTGGCTCAGTCAGTAGAAGGTGCAACTCTTTTTTTTTTTTTTAATGTTTATTTATATTTGAGAGAGACAGAGCATGAACGGGTGAGGGGCAGAAGGAGAGAGAGACAGAGACAGAGACAGAGACAGAGACAGAGACAGAATCTGAAGCAGGCTCCAGGCTCTGAACTGCCGGCACAGAGCCTGACATGGGGCTTGAATCCACGAACCATGAGATCATGACCTGAGCGAAGTCAGGGGCTTAACCAACTGAGTCACCCAGGTGCCCAGAGGGTGCAACTCTTGATCTTAGGATTGTAAGTTTGAGTCCCACGATTGGTATAGAGATTATTTAAAAATAAAATCTTTAAAAAAAATTATAACATTAAACTTTTCTCAGAAAACACTACAATAATAAATAATGCCATAACGTAGGAGATCGGCAATAGATTGGATCAGGAAGAAACTTAGGGGTAGGCTGAAGATGACAGAAGGAAATACAAGAAGACAGAAATGTACAATTCATCTAGTGATTGAGAGCAATTTGGGCAGGGAAGTAATGTTACAGAGGTCTACAAAAGAGGATAAAGTGTAGTAGTGTCCCAGGAAGCAATACTCTCCGGAAAGGAGTAACATAACAAACAGGATCAATGAACTCTAATGGGTACTCCTTTTATTATATATAACCTCCCTCCTCTCAGAAAGAACTCTCTTCAGTTCTCCTTTGAGTAGAAGTATTGGAAATAACAAGGACAAATACGTGTGAAGAGTGAAGAGGATGCTTCAAAGGGCAAAAGACCTATGTAGATGGAGAAGAATACAGTAAATGTGACTTTTCCTGGAGGCCTATTGCTGTCCACCATTCCTTGGGTTGGGGGGAAATGCAAGTGATCCAAACCATGTTTCTCTGCTTGTCCCACATAAGTAAAGGGCATACAAGCTGTTGCTACTATCTCCACAAAAGCTTGTATCAAAGGCCTATTGCCTGGATGAGAAAAGCAAATACCCATACAGTACTTTAAAGTAATTTAATCCTCATAATCACCTTGTGAGATGAGTACTTTAAGAATCTCCATGTTTGATGAGGATGGTGAAGCACAGAATGGTTAAATGCCCAAATTCACATAGCTAAAAGATAGTAGAGCTAGAATTCAAACCCACGAAGAAAGGTTCTACACACAGTTCACACACTCTTAAACACTCTGTTGTAAAATGACTTCTTTGGCTTAATTGTGCCACCCCAAGCAAGTGAATGGCATAAGACTGTCTTGAAGCATTGCTATGAAGAGCTCCAGGCACTAAGCTGGGGATCAAAATAAAGACTGGACAGAGCAAATAGCAACTTGGAGAGATAATCTTGGAAGAACCAGATATCAGGGATGTTTTTGAGGGAGGACCTTGACCATGAGGGAAAGACAGGGACTCTCATTACCACATCAATTTGGACATATTAAACTAGCAAACTAAACTGTTATAAAGACCTAATGAGAATGTAATTCTGATAATAAATCCTGGTATTTGTGAGTACTTGCCTGATATTTTAATATATCAGTACATATAAATTAAAAATTAAAACGGCCATATCACAAATGGATTTTTAGTCACACCACTAAGATAAATGCTGACACTGATTAGCTAGAACAAGAAGTTATTCAGAAAGTTCTGATGTTGGGCTTTAGACTACATGATATGAATATGTGTCTTCTGAACTACTGACATAATACTCCTTAAACTGAATAATAAAATTATTATGTACTAAACAGTTGTTCAAGTTTGGACTAGAATGGCAATCTTGAGATTGAGAATTTGCCACTGTAACTCACATAAGTGTGCTAACAACAAAGTAGGAAAACTAAAGCCAGACCTTCTTAGAACATATGCTCAGGAAGTTGCCTTTCTAGGGAGTATATACTTTTATTGCTTGGTGAACAAAATAAACCAGAAATGTGAGCAAGAACTCTCCTGGAAAGCAAACCTAATATTCTAGATCCAGTTCCTAAAACATAGTTCACTGTCAAGCAGCACACAGAGACCAAATATAAACACTGTTTGAGGATATATTGCAAGATCACAAGGTCTTGCTTTCCCTGTATGAGAACAATAACCTTAGGGCTCTATAAATAAAACTTTGGTAGAATGTCCATGTGGTTTCAAGAAAAACCTGGGGCGCCTGGGTGGCTCAGTCGGTTGAGCGACTGACTTCGGCTCAGGTCATGATCTCACGGTTTGTGAGTTTGAGACCCACATCGGGCTCTGTGCTGCTTGGAGCCTGGATCCTGCTTCGGATTCTGTGTCTCCCTCTCTCTCTCTCTGCCCTTCCCCCACTCATGCTCTGTCTTTCTCTGTCTAGAAATAAACATTAAAAAAAAAAAGAAAAACCTAAACACATAATTAATCTTTAAAATAAAATTGCATTGCTTCCCTTCCACCAAAAAGAAAGACACAAACATACACACACATGTACACACACACACACACACACACACACACACACACAATTTGGGAAATATATATACATGATATGGAAAATATTAATAAATCTGTATTGGGGCACCTGGGTGGCTCAGTTGATGAAGCATCTGACTCTTGGTTTTGGGCCAGGTCATGATCTTACGGTTTGTGAGTCCGAGCCTTGTGTTGGGCTCTATGCTGATAGCATGGAGCCTGCTTGGGATTCCTTCTCTCCCTCTCTCCCTCTCTCTCTCTCTCTCTCTCTCTCTCTCTCTCTCTCCCCCTATTTGTCCCCCACTCACGTTTGCTTTCTCTCTCTTAAAATAAACATTTAAAAGTATATATAATTCTGCATTATACTCTGCATTTTACTATGTATAATGCAGATTTCATAAAAATTTGAAAAAATGTGCATATGTAGTTCTTATAGTTACAAAATACATGTTCCCAAGAGAAAAGTTCAAATTTTGAATGGTAAACAGTCTGATAAAAACTGGTAATCCTAGAGTTAGCAATGTACTCCTGTCAATTAACTGGCAAAGCCAGTATGATTTTTAAGAGCACAAACATCACTACTGTCGGCATGGCGGATTCTTATAATCTGAACCCATTGCTAATTTCATCAAGAATGTGAACCCTTGAACCTAGAAGACTGCTTCTTGCCACTACTAATAGTCTGGTTCTTTCTCTTCAGGAGAACCAGAATAACTTATCAACATTCTATTTGAAACACAAAGAGGGAGAAAAAAGAGACCGGGTTCCTCAGTTTTCTGGTTCTGTTTCTAGTCCCTTTGAGGCCCATCTGTACTTCTTTCCCTTGAATTCCAAAAGAAAATCTGTATTTCTTATTAAAATTTGTTCTTCTTTTCAGCAGATTTTAGTTACTTGCAAAAAAGAGTAGGCTTTAATTTGAAATCCAAAAGCCTAGAATGTCTAAGCAACCCAATTGTAAAGCACAATAATGGTTTTTAAAAAGTACATTGAAATATTAAACCTCCTAATCAACACTATTCATAAGAATATCTATTCTGAATCAAAGACTTCGAGCCAAAATGCATCCAGAGAAAATACATGTCATTCATGTAGAAGTAATCATTCTCAATACTATAATGCCTGTGAAATTAAAAACTGCATTTAATTACATTTTCTGTGACAGTGGCTTTCAAACCTATTTTAGGCAACAGAGTATTTTTTCCTAATGAAATCTTAGGCTCATGTCCAACGCAAAGCAGACATCTGTTCTGGCTGAAGCACCACACATATCTGGGTGGGGCGATGCATGCCTGTGTGAGCCTCAGGCAGAATACCCTGCCTGATGTCCAACTTCCTCCCCTGTCAAAGGCCCCCTGAGGCATCACCATGAAACCCCTTTTATTTTTGTGAATAAGAGCTTGAAAACCACTGTGCTAGAAAGAGACAGCCACCCTTTTAATCTTTACTTTCACAACCAACACACCAAATCAATCACATGTCTATTTACCTGTGAGCTTTAAAATTTTTTCCATCAACATAAATATCAATATCTGGGCAACAATGTTTCATGTATAGTTTCAATAAATCTTCTCCTAATTCAGATGCAGGATCCAAGTCATAATTATCTTTAAAAGAGAAAAAGAAAACTAAAAAATAGTTTATTATAAATACACAAAAATTTTGTGTTTTAATATTAACCTAATGTTTTTCCCCATAATTATCTTGATTAGCTACTAAGAGAGAACAACAGTAACTGAAATACTGAACTGGTAAATTCAAATAAAACAACTTAAAAATCATCTATATCTTATTTTGAAATATAAACTTCAACTTATATTTAAATACAAACATATCTTTTAATGTAGGTACATATTTAAATGTAGATAATATTATACAAAACTATATACCAAAATTGAAGCCACTTTATGAACTCTTAAGATGCTAGAAAATTTTCCAATTTTGATATCCTTTTTCACTACCTAATTCCTTCCTACTCTTGTTCATGAATTTTTGGTGAGAATGACATTTAAACCAACAGATTCTCAACTGTAAGCAATGGGATTTGTTCAGCACTTAAGAAAATAAATATTTTAAAAAGTATCTCTACTTCAAAAGATTCATCATTCAGAAAGTGAGGAGTGAAATGTAAAACATGTTTACATTTTAAGAAATTACTACACTATATATCATAGCTATATCAATCCAGAAACTTTAGTCAGTACATCTGCTGAGGATCTGTCATTGGGGACAGATTCCCACTAACCAAATTACAAATTTATAAATTTATATATTTATAAGCCAGAATGTCATTATTGGTCCTATACCAAAAGACAGCCAGAATCCAACCACAACTCAGTATCTCCATAGCTACCATTGCAGTCCAAGCCACCATCACCTCGCACCTAGATTTCTGCAGTAACTTCCCAACACATCTCCCACTCTTGACTCCCACAGTCTATTTTTGACAAAGCATTTAGAGGCATGTTTTAAAATGCAATTCAAATCCTGATCCATCCCAGTTCAAAACCTTATGACTCTGTCCTTTTTTTTTTTTTTTTTTTTTTTTACAGTAAAAGCCAAAGTCTTACAATGGCTTACCAGGCCCCACAACATCTGGCTCCTCACTATGCAGGTGGTTGGGGACTAGTCCGAGCTCTCTCATCCTGGAGGGCCACAGCTGCCCAATGCAGGCTGACGGGGTGCATACTGTGCACCTGACTCTTATCTGCATAACAGTATAACCCTTAGTGTCAGAATTGAATTGTTGGATACCCAATTGATACTGGATAATTGGTTGGTGTGGAGAAAAAAACACCCACATTTTGGTGTCAGAAGTGGTGCCAACAAAAAAAACCACAATCACAGAAACCCAAAACTCAATGTTCCTCAAGCTGAAGTCATCGTTCCACTCTATCCTAATCTTCCTCTGCTTATACTCCATAAGTCTGCCAAATAGTACCACCCAAACTCTCTAAAATGGCTTATAAGGAGGGGCGCCTGGGTGGCTCAGTCAGTTAAGCGTCTGACTTCAGCTCAGGTCATGATCTCACAGTCCGTGAGTTCGAGCCCCATATCAGACTCTGTGCTGACAGCTCAGATCTTGCAGCCTGCTTGGGATTCTGTGTCTCCCTCTCTCTCTCTCTGCACCTTTCCTGCTCACACTCTGTCTGTCTCTCTTTCTCTCAAAAATAAATAAACATTAAAAAAATGGTTTATAAGGAAAGTGACTACTAGTCTTGGTTTGCCTGGGACAATCCCAGTTAATGCCTGTTGCCCCAGAGTAATTATAAACTGCAGTAATAACTTTGCACTCTTTCAAAAGTATCCAAATTTGGACAATAAGAAATAAGGTCATCCTTTATATAAGGTTTTCAGTGATCTGGCTTCTGCTTGTATCTCCAGGTTCATCTCTTACTGTGACCATTCTTGTCCCCTCTTCCACCCCGGTCCTACAACAAACTATTACCAGTCTTCAAAATTTGCTCTGTGCCTGGGGTCATTCTGCCTCTAATAGGCAGGTCATGTTTTTTTCCTTTGCCTGTAGTACTTCTCCCCTAAACTCTTCAGCCTGGCTAACTCCTGTTTTTTTCCACTGAGATTCAACTCAGATATCACTCCTTTCTATCTCTCCATCTTCATCTCTAACTCTATATGCAGAGGAGGATGGGCAGATCTGCCAGAAACCTATGAAAGTCTCCTAATTTTGGTGTTCCTCTCTTGTGGTGCAATGCCACTGCATGTGCAAGGTAACATCAGGTCACATAACCTTGTGGGGACTGGGGGTTGGGAACTGGCACTAAGACACTATGTAAGTAATAAACAGTCAATTTTGTGATCCAGAGATTTCAAGGTTCCTGTTAGAATATCTATTACTATATCTGTATCATTTATACTTTTATCTATCTGTACCTATTCCTGTGCCCTTAACATCCTCCTTCTGCCAATTCACAATAGTTCACAAACTATAACCCTTCTGACACCCACTTCCACAAACTAAAGTTATTTTTCAAGGACAAACACCATATTTACTATACTATTTATGTGTTTCTTGACATGTGTAAAACTGTATCATTTTTATTAGATTCCTATCTTTTTAAAACATAGCACAACAAAATTTTCAGTAATTTTTTTGTCATGATAAAATATAATGGTGATTTTTATGCTGCATATTGTTTTTAAGTAGTGCCTATATTGTGTTATAACAGAACTGACTCTATAGTCTGCTAAAGCTTTCATTGGTATAGACAAGAATAAGGATGGTGACGTGGAGGTTTAAGAGGAGAATTGTGAATTATATGTGTATTTATTCAGATTAATACCATCTCCAATTGTCTGGGAAAACTAGGAGTTTCACTTACCCATAAAAAATTTACTTTCAGTTACTTTTATTACATCTACTTTCATTCTACCTTTATTTCATCTCCTATAAAAAAGAGATCAGTAGAATTGATTTTTGAAATATGTTTTCTCCAACTGTATCAGAATATAATTACTTTCACAGCTATACAATTTTCTAAAAATCCACCAAAAAATAACTCACCAGCAGAAATTAAATTGTGTACTCCAACATCGACATCCTCTGGAACTTCATGCTTCTGAAGAGAACAATCAGATGACTCTACAGATGATCTTCCATCGTTGTCAGTGCAGATTCCAAAGCTGAAGTCACATTTCTTTTGTGGCACTCCCCTCACCACTATCTTTTTCCTAAGAATTTCTTCTTCATAGTTTCTTATGTTTCTGTCTGATGAATATACAACCCTAAAAGAATATGTAAAGTATTACTAAAAATGTTAGTGATTCTTAAAAGCTAGTTTACCAAGCACTGCCTTCATATAAAACAACGACATAATTTTATAACTATTTTTATCTGGGCTAACTGGAAAAAAGATCAATCTCAAAGAGCAGAAAGTTTTAAAAGTAGTCTATAAAATATTTTAATGTTCAGAATATATAATACCATCAAACTAGACGACCCAGATGAAATGGACAATTCCTAGAAAGGCACACACTACCAAACCTGACTTAAGAAGAAATAGAATAACTGAACGGTCTGTTCAGGTATAGGTCTTATACCAACTAGAGAGACTGAGTTAGTAATCAAAAACTTCCCACAAAGAAAAATCCAGAACTAGATGGCTCCATAGGTGAACATGACCAAATGCTTAAAGAATTAACACCAATCCTTCACAAACTTTTCCAAAAAACATAACTGAGAACACACTCTAACTCATTCTGAGGCCATTATTACCTGATACAAAAGCAGACAAGGACATCATAAGAAAACCACAGACTAATATTCCTTATTAATATAGATGAAAAAATTCCTTAGCAAAGTAATAGCAAACTGAATCTAGCAACATATAAAAAGTATTATGGGGTTTATTTCAGGAATTCAAGGGTAGCTAAGCAAATAAAAATCAATATTATACATCATATGCTATAGTCTGAATATTTGTATACCCTCAAAATTCTCTAAGAGGTAATTAGGTGGAGCCCTCATGAATAGGATTAGTGCCCTTATATAAGAGGCTCCAAAAAGATCCCTCTCCTCCTTCCACCATGAGCACAGTGAGAAGTCAGCATCTGCAACCCAGAATAGGGTTTTCACCAGAATCCTATCATACTGGCACTCTGACCTTGAACTTCCAGCCTCCAGAACTATGAGAAATAAATTTTTGTTGTTTATATGCCACTCAGTCTGTAGTATTTTGTTACAGCAGCCCAAAGACCTCACAAAACCTTTTAAATTTAGTCCTCTTAGCAGGACTAAGACACCATATCAACGGGACAAACACCATATGATCACCCCTATAGATGCAGAAAAAGCATTTGACAAAATCCAATACCCTGTCAAAATAATACACTCAAAAAAAACTAGGAATAGAAGGCAAGTCCCCAACCTGATAAAGAACATCTATGAAAAACCCACAGCTAACACTGTATTTAATAGTACAAGACTGAAAGCTTTCCTTCTAAATCAGAAAGGATGCCTGCCTGTTCTTATTACTTCTATTCAACATTTAACTGGAGGTTCTAGCCAGGGGATTAGGCAAGAAAAAGAAGAGGCATCTGGATTGAAGGAACAAGTAAAGCTATCTCTATTTACAAATGGCAAACTTATATACAGAAATCCTTGGAAATCCACTACAAAAACTATTTGTTAACCACGTTCTACAAGGTTGCAGGATACAAAATCAATATGCAGTAATCAACCATATTTTTAGATACTAACAATGAACAATCCAAAACAAAATTAGAAAATAATACCATTTATAATAGCATCAAAAAGATAAAACACTTAAGGACATATTTCACCAAAAAGCATAAGACTTGTATGCTGAAAACTATAAAACAATGCTGAAAGCAATTTTATAAATGGAAATACATTCCAGATGATTTAATATTGTTAGAATGGCAGTACTCTCTGGGGCACCTGGGTGGTTCAGTTAGGTTAAGCAACCGACTTCGGCTCAGGTCATGATCTCTCACGGCTTGTGGGTTCAAGCCCTGCATCTCGCTCTCTGCGGTCAGCACAGAGCCCACTTCAGATCTTCTGTGCACCCCCCCAACCCCTCTCCCAACTAGCTCTTTCTGTCTCTTAAAAATAAACATTTAAAAAAAGATGGCACTACTCTCTCAATTGATCTACAGATATAATGTATTATCTATCAAAATTCAACTACTTTTCTGCAGAAATCAAAAAATCAATCCTCAAATTCAAACATAAATGCAAGGGACCCAGAATAGTCAAAACAATCTTGACAAAGAACAAAGTTGGACAATTCATAAGTTCCCAAATTTCTAAGCTTCCTACAAAGCTACAATCATCCATACTATGTGGTAATGACATGAGAATAAACATATAAATCAGTGGAACAGAACTGACTATTAAGAACTACATATATATGCAACAAACTTGACAACAGTGTTGTGATTTTGTGATTTATAATATGAAATATATATTTGGTCTTTGCCTACTGTTCTGGGCACATATTTCCTAAAACCGTTATAATTTCCTATGCAAGAGCCATAGAGACATCTTTTGTTATAATATTTAGCTTTGTTCTTAGCTTCTGAAATAAAAGGAATAAAAGTTAAATGGATGGCTTTTCTTATTCATAACAAGCCCTTTGAACCATAGCAGAGTTTACATTAATGAGCTAGGTGACATTTGGAAAGTCACCAAGGATGGGCGCTGGTTGGCAAGAGAGAATCATCAATGGCCAATGACTTAATCCATCATGTCTATGCAATAAATCCTCCATACCTAAAGGATGGGATTTGGAGAACCTCTTGGTTGTTGAACACATGGAGGTGCTGGGAGAGTGGTGTACCCACAGAGGGCATGGGAGCTCCACACCCCTTCCCACATCCTAGCCCTTTGAATCTCTTCCATCTGGCTGTTCTTGAGTTATATCCTTTTTTAGATAATTGGCAATCTAGCAAGTATAATCTTTTCCTGCATTCTATGAGCTATTCTAGCAAATTAATTGAACCTGAGAAAGGGTTTATGGGAACCTCCAATTCACATGTGGTTGGTCAGAAGCACAGAGAAGGAACAACTTGGACTTGCAACTGGCATCTGAAAAGGTTGGGGACAGTCTTATGGAACTGAACCTTTAATCTGTGGGATCAAATAGTATCTCCAAGTAGTGTCAGAATTGAGTTAAATCTGTAGGACACCCAGCTGGTGTCTGGAGAATCTCAGAATTGCTTGGTATGGGGGAAAACTCCCACCCATTTGGTGACCAGAAAGGTCAGAAGTGACATATTCTCTGAGTAGAGTATTAAAAGTAAAGGAGACACACAATAACATGTTCTTCCTTTACAGGTGTCCAGACAATCCAACAGGAAAAGACTAGGCTCTTCAAAAGTCGGTGCTGAGACAACTGGATTTCCAAATGCAAAAAAGCTGGATATGAGCTTCACAGTACATACAAAAATTAATTCAGAATAGGTTAAAGATCTAAATGTAAGAATTTAAAAAGTATACAAAGGTATAAATCTTCATGACCTTGGATTAGGGAATGGTTTCTTACCTATAACCCCAAAAACACAAGTAACCAAAAAAAGACAAAATGAAAATCACAGAAATTATAAACTTTTGTACTTTCAAGGACATATGACGAAAGTTAAAAGACAACTCAAAGAATGGGAGAAAATACTTGCAAATCACATACCTGATAAGAAACTTGTAACTAGAATATATAAAGAATTTTAAAAATTCTTTTATATAGAATAAAATTCTTTTTTTTTATTTTTAATTTTTTTTTTCAACGTTTATTTATTTTTGGGATAGAGAGAGACAGAGCATGAACGGGGGAGGGGCAGAGAGAGAGGGAGACACAGAATCGGAAACAGGCTCCAGGCTCTGAGCCATCAGCCCAGAGCCTGACGCGGGGCTCGAACTCACGGACCGCAAGATCGTGACCTGGCTGAAGTCTGACGCTTAACCGACTGCGCCACCCAGGCGCCCCAAAATAAAATTCTTACATAGAGACTATATAACAAATAAAAACAGGGCACCTAGGTGGCTCAGTGAGTTAAGCGGCCAACTACTGATTTTGGCTCAGGTCATGATCTCACAGTTTATGGGATGGAACCTCATGTTAACAGCACAGAGCCTGCTTGGAATTCCCTCTCTCCCTCTCTCTGTGCCCCTCCCCTGCTTGTGTGTACTGTCTCTCTCTCTCTCTCAAAATAAATAAACATTAAAAAAAATAAAAACAAAAAATACAGAATATATAAAGAATTAAAAAATATAAATGATGTTCAATAATATAAAGATAAATGATTCAACTTACAAATGGGCAAAGAATATGAATAGAGATCAGGACGCCTGGGTGACTGAGTTGTTTAAGAATCTGACTCTTGATTTCAGATCGGGTCATGATCTCGCTGTTCATGAGTTCAAGCCCTGCATCGGGCTCTGCTTGGGATTCTCTCTCTCTGTCCCTCCCCAGCTTGTACACATCCTGTCTCTTTCAAAATAAATAAACTTTAAAAAATTATATATAACAAAAAGAATGTGAATAGAGTTTACCAAAGAAAATATATAATAGCCAATATGCACACAAAAAAGATATTCAACATCATTAGCCATCAGAGAAATGCAAATCAAAACCACAATGAGATACCTTTCACACCTACTAAGGTGGCTATAATCAAAATGACAGATAACAACAAGTGTTGTCAAGAATGCAGAAAAATTGGAATCCTCATACATGCTGGTAGGAATGTAAAATGGTGTAGCCTCTTTGGAAAAGAGTCTGGCATTTCCTCAAAAGTTTACCATATGATCCAGCAATTTCCCTCCTAGGTATATAACATGAGAGAAATGAAAACATGTTCACACAAAAATGTGCACATCAATGTTCAGAGTGGAATTATTCATAACAGCCAAAAAGTCAAAACAACCCAAATGTCTATCAACTCATGAATGGATAAACAAAATATGGTATATCCATATGCATAGAAGAGATTTAACATAGCAGCCCTGACTACTGTCTTTTAAAAGATTTAATTATAAGGTTAGCCCTTGGCTTGTATCTGAGACCATGATTTTAGGAGTTTTCCTGGAATTCTATAAATGATAAGGGTGGCTTGTTATGTTTAAACTATTTACACAAACAACATGGGTTATGTTAAACACCCGCTTGCCTTCCAGGAGTCTGGAATATGAATGCGAAATAGACACAGGGTGCCTACATGACAAATGCTTAGTAAAAACCCTGGGCACTGAGCTTCTAATGAGCTCC